GGCGGGCGCTGCTACAGCACCGCTTCAATACACACCAGGTGTGCCACCACCACCACCACCACCAACAACAACCACAACAACAACCACAACCACCACCACCACCACCACGCAGTTGCGGTGTGTGAATACAGCAGTGTGTCAGGAGCGGAGTGTGTGTATGTGTGTACGTGTGTGTGTGTGTACGTGTGTGTGTACGTGTGTATGTGTGTGTATGTGTGTGTATGTGTGTGTATGTGTGTGTGTGTATGTGAGTGTGTGTGTGTGTATGTGTGCGTACGTGTGTGTGTGTATGTGTGTGTGTGTATGTGTGTGTGTGTACGTGTGTGTGTGTATGTGTGCGTACGTGTATGTGTGTACGTGTGTGTGTATGTGTGTGTGTATGTGTGCGTATGTGTGCGTATGTGTGCGTGTATGTGTGTGTGTGTATGTGTGTGTGTACGTGTGTGTGTGTACGTGTGTGTGTACGTGTGTGTGTGTACGTGTGTGTGTGTACGTGTGTGTGTGTATGTGTGTGTGTACGTGGGGAGCGATAGTGTAGTGGTTAGCGCTACGCTGCGCTATGAACCTGGCGACCCGGGTTTGATTCCCGCTCACGGCCAACACCAGTGACGATTATCTGAACCCGGTCCTGGGCCTCCCCTAGATCGACTCAGCCTCAAATGAGTACCTGGTGCGGTGTGTAAACATTGCCACTAGGGAGACAAAGGCGGTCGGGCGTGGTGCTGGCCACCCACCCCATCGTGTACCGTTCCGGCCTTCATAGGTGCTCGCTAACAGCACTTGCCCCAGCAGTCTGTTGAGGCTACACGGGGGACCTTTGTCTGTATCTACCTTCATAGGTGCTGCTACTCGCTACTAACAGCACTTGCCCCAGCAGTCTGTAGAGGCTACACGGGGGACCTTTGTCTGTGTCTACCTTCACAGGTGCTGCTACTACTCGCTACTAACAGCACTTGCCCCAGCAGCCTGTTGAGGCTACACGGGGGATCTTTGTCTGTGTCTAGCTTCATAGGCGCTCCTGCTACTCGCTACTAACAGCACTTGCCCCAGCAGTCTGTAGAGGCTACACGGGGGGATCCTTTGTCCTGGAGGTTGTTGTTGCGTGTGGGTAGTGCGGCGCGGGTGGTAGCGTGGTGAGCGGTGAGCGGTGCGGTGAGAGGTGAGCAGAGCGGTGAGCAGTGAGCGGCGTGGTGAGCGGTGAGCGGTGCGGTGAGCGGTGAGCGGTGAGCGGTGAGCTCCTCACCCTTCTCTCCGCGTTTCTTCTTTGTGCGGTCGATGTGATCCTTGAGCTGGATCCGCACCTGGCGCTCCGTGGGCTGCTCACGGATGAAGGGGTGCTTGAGCAGGATCTCCGTGTGTGGACGCTGCACGTAGTTCTTCACCAGGCAACTCTCCATGAAGCTCTGGAACTTCTTGGACCTGGCGCGGGAGGGAGGGGGAGGGAGCCTCTGTGTGTTAGTGTGTGTGTGTCTGTGTTTGTGTGTGTGTCTGTGAGTGTCTGTGTGTGTGAGTGAGTCTCTGTGTGAGTGTTTGTTGTGTGTGTGAGTGTCTGTGTGTGTGTTAGTGTGTCTGTGTGTGTGTGTCTCTGTGTGAGTGTCTGTGTCTGTGTGTGAGTCTCTGTGTGATAGTGTGTGTGTCTGTGTGTGTGTGTCTGTGTGTGTGTGTGTGTGTGTCTGTGTGTGAGTGTCTGTGTGTGTGTGTGTCTGTGTGTGAGTGTCTGTGTGTGTGTGTGTGTCTGTGTGTGAGTCTCTGTGTGAGTGTCTGTGTGTGTGTGCGAGTGTCTGTGTGTGCGAGTGTCTCTGTGTGTGTTAGTGTGTGTCTGTGTGTGTGTGTCTGTGTGTGTGTGTGAGTGTGTGTGAGTGTTTGTGTGTGTGAGTGTCTGTGTGTGTGTGTGTCTGTGTGTGAGTGTTTGTGTGTGTGAGTGTCTTTGTGAGTGTCTTTGTGAGTGTCTGTGTGTGTGTCTGTGTGTGTGTGTGTCTGTGTGAGTGTCTGTGTGTGTGTGAGTGTCTGTGTGTGAGTATCTGTGTGAGTGTCTCTGTGTGAGTGTCTGTGTGTGTGAGTGTTTGTGTGTGTGTGTGAGTGTCTTTGTGAGTGTCTGTGTGTGTGAGTGTCTGTGTGTGAGTGTCTTTGTGAGTGTCTGTGTGAGTGTCTCTGTGTGAGTGTCTGTGTGTGTGTGAGTCTCTGTGTGAGTGTCTGTGTGTGTGTGAGTGTCTGTGTGTGTGTGAGTCTCTGTGTGAGTGTGTGTGAGTGTCTCTGTGTGTGCGAGTCTATGTGTGAGTGTCTGTGTGTGTGTGAGTGTGTGTGTGCGTCTGTGTGTGTGAGTGTCTGTGTGTGTGTGTGTCTGTCTGTGAGTGTGTGTGTGTTTCTGTGTGTGTGAGTGTCTGTGAGTGTCTGTGTGTGTGTGTCTTTGTGTGTGTGTGTGTCTGTGTGTGTGTATGTGAGTCTCTGTGTGAGTGTCTGTGTGTGTGTTTCTGTGTGTCTGTGTGTGTCTGTGTGTCTGTGTGTGTGTGTGTTTCTGTGTGTGTGAGTGTCTGTGTGTGTGTGTCTTTGTGTGTGTGTCTGTGTGTGTATGTGAGTCTCTGTGTGAGTGTCTGTGTGTTTCTGTGTGTGTGTGTCTGTGTGTCTGTGTGTGAGTTTCTGTGTGTGTTTCTGTGTCTGTGTGAGTGTCTGTGTGAGTGTCTGTGTGTGTGTGCGTCTGTGTGTGTGTGCGTCTGTGTGTGTGTACGAGTCAGTGAGTGTGTGTGTGAGTGTGTGTGAGTGAGTCTGCGTGTGCGTTACCATTTCTTGGATTTGAGGCGAGGCGGAGGGTTGCGAGGGATGAGGAAGAGAGCCCTCATTGGGTGCATATCACACAGCGCTGCAACATCAACAACATCATCATCATCATCAACAACAGCATCACCATCAACAGTATCATCATTACCACAGCGTCAACAGCAACAATAGCAATGTGATCACCACCGCCACCTCAGCCACCACCATCAGCGCCGCCATCGCCACCACCACCACCGCCACCACCGCCACCACCACCGCGACCACCATCAAACGCTGCCACCACCACCACTGCCACCACCACCACCACCGCCACCACCACCAACACCACCACCGCCACCGCCACCACCACCAACACCACCACCGCCACCGCCACCACCACCACCATCACCACCACCGCCACCACCACCATCGTCACCATCACCACCACCGCCACCAACACCACCACCACCACCACCGCCATACTCACGGGGAGCGCCTTCGGCCATCTCAATGGCTGTGATTCCCAGAGACCAGAGGTCACTCTGTTGGGGAGACACGGAGACAGGGAGACATGAGAGACACGGAGAGACACACAGAGACACACAGAGACACGGAGACACGGGGAGACAAGGCGAGACACGGAGACACACGGAGAGACACGGGGAGACAGAGAGACACGGAGACAGAGACACACGGAGAGGACACGGAGAGACACGGAGAGACACGGGGAGACACAGAGAGACACGGAGACAGAGACACACGGAGAGACACGGAGACAGAGCTCGTTAGTGTGACTGGGTGAGTTGCGGTGGTGGTGAGTGGCGGTGGTGGTGAGTGGTAGAGGTGAGTGGCGGTGGTGGTGAGTAGCGGTGGTGGTGAGTGGTAGATGTGAGTAGTGGTGGTGGTGAGTGGTAGAGGTGAGTGGCGGTGGTGGTGAGTGGCGGTGTTGGTGAGTGGCGGTGTTGGTGAGTGGCGGTGGTGAGTGGCGGTGGTGGTGAGTAGCGGTGGTGGTGAGTGGTAGATGTGAGTAGTGGTGGTGGTGAGTGGTAGAGGTGAGTGGCGGTGGTGGTGAGTGGCGGTGTTGGTGAGTGGCGGTGTTGGTGAGTGGCGGTGTTGGTGAGTGACGGTGTTGGTGAGTGGCGACGGTGTTGGTGAGTGGCGGTGTTGGTGAGTGGTGGTGTTGGTGAGTAGCGGTAGAGGTGAGTGGTGGTGGTGGTGAGTGGCGGTGTTGGTGAGTAGCGGTGGTGGTGAGTAGTGGTGGTGGTGAGTAGTGGTGTTGGTGAGTGGCGGTGTTGGTGAGTGGCGGTGGTGGTGAGTGGCAGTGTTGGTGAGTAGCGGTGGTGGTGAGTAGCGGCGGTGTTGGTGAGTGGTGGTGTTGGTGAGTAGTGGTGGTGGTGAGTAGTGGTGTTGGTGAGTGGCGGTGGTGGTGAGTGGTAGAGGTGAGTAACGGTGGTGGTGAGTGGCGGTGTTGGTGAGTGGCGGTGTTGGCGAGTGGCGGTCTTGGTGAGTGGCGGTGTTGGTGAGTGGCGGTGTTGGTGAGTGGTAGTGGTGAGTGGTAGTGGTGAGTGGTAGTGGTGAGTGGCGGCGGTGTTGGCGAGTTACCCGGTAGTCGTAGGTGGCGTCGGGGTTCTCGTCGCAGGCGATCACCTCGGGTGCCATCCAGTAGGGCGTGCCGATGAACGTGTTACGGCGGCCGATGGTGCGGTCCAGCTGGGCGCTCACCCCAAAGTCCACTGCACCGCCACCACCACGGCACCACCACCATCACCACGGCACCACCACCAGCACGGCACCACCAGCAAGGCACCACCAGCAAGGCACCACCAGCAAGGCACCACCAGCAAGGCACCACCAGCACGGCACCACCACCACCACGGCACCACCACCACCACCACGGCACCACCAGCACGGCACCACCAGCACGGCACCACCAGCAAGGCACCACCACCACGGCACCACCGCCACGGCACCACCGCAGGCGCAGACCGGTCACGAGCGTACGAGGTCAGCGCGGTGGGGGGGGTCACGCAGGGTTCACCGAGCGGTGGCAAAGGTCACCGAGCGTAGGGGAGGGGGGGAAGTTATTGTGCGTGCGTGTGTGTGTGTGTCTGTGTGTGTGTGTGTCTGTGTCTGTGTGTGTGTTTGTGTGTGTGTCTGTGTGTGTGTCTGTGCGTGTGTCTGTGCGTGTGTCTGTGCGTGTGTCTGTGCGTGTGTCTGTGCGTGTGTGTGTGTGTGTCTGTGCGTGTGTCTGTGCGTGTGTGTGTGTGTGTCTGTGCGTGTGTCTGTGCGTGTGTCTGTGTGGGGAGCGGTAGTGTAGCGGTTAGCGCTACACTGCGCTACGAACCCGGAGACCCGACTTCGATTCCCGCTCACGGCCAACACTGGTGACGATTATCTGAACCGGGCCTCCACTAGGTCGACTCAGCCTCAAATTAGTTACCTGGTATAGCGGTGGCTCAGTAAACATCGCCACTGGGGAGACAAAGGCGGTCGGGCGTGGTGCTGGCCACCCACCGCCTCGTGTGCCGTTCTGGCTTTCATAGGTGCTCGCTAAAAGCACTTGCCCCTACAGTCTGTAAAGGCTATATGGGGGATCTGTGTCCTTGTGTGCGTGCGTGTGTGTGTGTGTGTGCGTGTGCGTGCGTGCGTGTGTGTGCGTGTGTGTGCGTGTGCGTGTGTGTGTGCGTGTTATTGACCTGGTCAAGACCTATGATACCATCAGTAAGCCTGGGCTCTGGGTTGTTCTTCGTGCTTTTGGAGTCCCTGACCCTCTGCTCACGATCATTAAGGACCTTCATGATGGTGAGCGGGCCCAGGTAAAACTACGTGGCCGGGAGTCAGAGCCATTCCCTGTACACCTTGGGGTGCGACAGGGATGTCCTCTGGTTCCCACATTATTTAACATTTATTTTGACCACGTAGTTCGTGAAGCCTTCAATAGATGTACCGGGGGAATCTCAATATGGTACAGATATAATGGGAGGCTGATCGATGCCCGGGTGCGGTCAAGGGATGGCTCCCTATTGCTCAACCACGTTATGTATGCTGATGATTTGGTAATAGCTGCTCATTCAGAGGAGGAGTTGGAGACGCTGCTGCTGAGACTGGAGCGTGCCACTAAGAGGTGGGGCCTTACCATCAGCCCCACCAAAACTAAGCACCTGCCTGGGTATTTTGTACCATCGGACACTCAACCCCCACAACTCCCAATCGGTGATGGGGCAGTTGTGGAGAGAGTGGAGAGTTTCCCATACCTGGGCAGTGTGCTTATGACCGGCTCCAGTTTAACAGCAGAGGTCTCACTCCGAATCAGTCGAGCGGCAATATCTTTTCATCGGTTGCGTAATGCTGTGTGGAAGCTACCTGGTCTGTCGCTCCGCACTAAGCTTCAGGTCTTCTCGGCCACGGTCATTCCCTCCTTTCTCTACACTTGCGAAACGTAGACCCCCCTAATGGAACATCTTCGCCGGTTAGAAACATTTAGGTTGGCCTGCCTACGATCCATCCTGATCGAGGGGGCTAAGCGGGCATGGCACGGGCTAGAGAAGAGATGGGGTGATGTGGTACAGGAGGACGTGGAGCTGAGTCGACTTGCCGATGACTGGTACCAGAGGTGTCAAGATCGGCCTCTGTGGAGGAGGCTCGTGAAGGACGCTGCTACTGGGCAGTTGGAGGCAGTCGCCCTCCAGCAACAACGGAGGGCGGAGGAGCGACGCTCACAACAACGAGCGGAGCGCCGGGTGGCTAAAGCACAGCAGGTTGGCACAGTAGGGGGCACAGGTGGTGCATCAGCCAGTCATCTCAGTCAGTCGACCCGTGGCACCTGCTGGGTCTGCCCCGTGACCTCCTGCCAGCGGGCGTTCGACACTTCACGTGGTAGCCTCAGGGTGCACATGGCCTGGCACAAGCGTCGTGGTGACGTCACCGCCACTTAGTGGTGAATGGCGGTTGTTGTTGTTGCGCGTGTGTGTGTGTGTGCGTGTGTGTGTGTGTGCGTGTGTGTGTGTGCGTGCGTGTGTGTGCGTGCGTGGTCCACGTACCCAGCTTGACCTCGGCGTTCTCCGTGAGCAGCACGTTCTGACCCTTGATGTCGCGATGGATCACCTTGTGCTGGTGAAGGTGAGACAGGCCCTGCAATGCGCACAACACACAAAAGACAAAGGTCCCCCGTGTAGCCTCTACAGACTGCTGGGGCAAGTGCTGTTAGTAGCGAGTAGCAGCAGCAGCTATGAAGGTAGACACAGACAAAGGTCCCCCGTGTAGCCTCTACAGACTGCTGGGGTAAGTGCTGTTAGTAGCGAGTAGCAGCAGCTATGAAGGTAGACACAGACAAAGGTCCCCTGTGTAGCCTCTACAGACTGCTGGGGCAAGTGCTGTTAGTAGCGAGTAGCAGCAGCAGCTATGAAGGTAGACACAGACAAAGGTCCCCCGTGTAGCCTCTACAGACTGCTGGGGCAAGTGCTGTTAGTAGCGAGTAGCAGCAGCAGCTATGAAGGTAGACACAGACAAAGATCCCCCGTGTAGCCTCTACAGACTGCTGGGGCAAGTGCTGTTAGTAGCGAGTACCAGCAGCTATGAAGGTAAACACAGACAAAGGTCCCCCGTGTAGCCTCTACAGACTGCTGGGGCAAGTGCTGTTAGTAGCGAGTAGCAGCAGCAGCAGCTATGAAAGTAGACACAGACAAAGGTCCCCCGTGTAGCCTCTACAGGCTGCTGGGGCAAGTGCTGTTAGTAGCGAGTAGCAGCAGCAGCTATGAAGGTAGACACAGACAAAGATCCCCCGTGTAGACTCTACAGACTGCTGGGGCAAGTGCTGTTAGTAGCGAGTAGCAGCAGCTATGAAGGTAGACACAGACAAAGATCCCCCGTGTAGCCTCTACAGACTGCTGGGGCAAGTGCTGTTAGTAGCGAGTACCAGCAGCTATGAAGGTAAACACAGACAAAGGTCCCCCGTGTAGCCTCTACAGGCTGTGGGGGCAAGTGCTCTTAGTAGCGAGTAGCAGCAGCACCTATGAAGGTAGACACAGACAGATGTCCCCCGTGTAGCCTCTACAGACTGCTGGGGCAAGTGCTGTTGGTAGCGAGTAGCAGCAGCTATGAAGGTAGACACAGACAAAGGTCCCCCGTGTAGCCTCTACAGACTGCTGGGGTAAGTGCTGTTGGTAGCGAGTAGCAGCAGCTATGAAGGTAAACACAGATAAAGGTCCCCCGTGTAGCCTCTACAGGCTGTAGGGGCAAGTGCTGTTAGTAGCGAGTGGCAGCAGCACCTGTGAAGGTAGACACAGACAAAGGTCCCCCGTGTAGCCTCTACAGACTGCTGGGGTAAGTGCTGTTGGTAGCGAGTAGCAGCAGCTATGAAGGTAGACACAGACAAAGGTCCCCCGTGCAACCTCAACAGACTGCTGGGGCAAGTGCTGTTAGTAGCGAGTAGCAGCAGCAACTATGAAGGTAGACACAGACAAAGGTCCCCCGTGTAGCCTCTACAGACTGCTGGGGCAAGTGCTGTTAGTAGCGAGTAGCAGCACCTATGAAGGCTACCGGCACTGTGGCACACGAGGGGGTGGGTGGCCAGCACCACGCCCGGCCGCCTTTGTCTCCCCAGTGGCGATGTTTACTACACCACCACAGCTACACCAGGTACTCATTTGAGGCCTAGTCGTGTAGACAAACACACGTCCACATGCATACGTACATAGTCCACTACTCAAGTATGTGGATGAGTGAGTGGGTGAGTGGCTGGGTGAGCGAGCGGGTGAGTGAGCGAGTGCGTGCGTGAGTGGGTGAATGAGTGGGTGAATGAGGGAGTGGGTGGGTGAGTGAGTGGGTGGGTGAGTGGGTGGATGAGTGGGCGAGTGAGTCAGTGAGCGGGTGGGTGAGTGAGTGGGTGGGTGAGCGGGTGGGTGAGTTAATGGGTGAGTGAGTGGGTGGGTCAGTGAGTGGGTGGGTCAGTGAGTGGGTGCGTGAGTGGGTTGGGTGAGTTAGTGGGTGAGTGGGTGGGTGAGTGAGTGGGTCAGTGAGTGAGTGGGTGAGTGAGTGGGTGGGTGAGTTAGTGGGTGAGTGAGTGGGTGGGTGGGTGAGTGAGTGAGTGGGTGGGTGAGTTAGTGGGTGAGTGAGTGGGTGGGTGAGTGAGTGGGTGGGTGAGTGAGTGGGCGGTTGAGTGGGTGGGTGAGTTAGTGGGTCAGTGAGTGGGTGAGTGAGTGGGTGGGTGAGTTAGTGGGTCAGTGAGTGGGTGGGTCAGTGAGTGGGTGGGTGAGAGAGTTAGTGGGTGAGCGAGTGGGTGGGTGAGTTAGTGGGTGAGTGAGTGGGTCAGTGAGTGGGTGAGTGAGTGGGTGGGTCAGTGAGCGGGTGGGTGAGCGGGTGGGTGATTGAGTGGGTGGGTGAGTGAGTGGGTCAGTGAGTGGGTGCGTGAGTGGGTGGGTGAGTGGGTGGGTGAGTGAGTTAGAGGGTGAGTTAGTGGACCAAGTGAGTGGGTGAGTGAGTGGGTGGGTGAGTTAGTGGGCGAGTTAGTGGGTCAGTGAGTGGGTGGGTCAGTGAGCGGGTGGGTGAGCGGGTGGGTGAGTTAGTGGGTGATTGAGTGGGTGAGTGAGTGGGTGGGTGGGTCAGTGAGCGGGTGGGTGAGTTAGTGGGTGATTGAGTGGGTGGGCGAGTTAGTGGGTGAGTGAGTGGGTGGGTGGGTGAGTTAGAGGGCGAGTTAGTGGACCAAGTGAGTGGGTGAGTGAGTGGGTGGGTGAGTTAGTGGGTGATTGAGTGGGTGAGTGAGTGGGTGGGTGGGTGAGTGAGCGGGTGGGTGAGTTAGTGGGTGATTGAGTGGGTGGGCGAGTTAGTGGGTGAGTGAGTGGGTGGGTGGGTGAGTGAGCGGGTGGGTGAGTTAGTGGGTGATTGAGTGGGTGGGTGAGTGAGTGGGTGAGTGAGTGGGTCAGTGAGTGGGTGAGTGAGTGGGTGGGTCAGTGAGCGGGTGGGTGAGCGGGTGGGTGAGTTAGTGGGTGATTGAGTGGGTGGGTGAGTGAGTGGGTGCGTGAGTGGGTGGGCGGGTGAGTGAGCGAGCGATGAGCGGACTCACCCGAAGGATCTCGCGACACACGTAGGCGATCCACTCCTCCTTCAGGGAGTTCCCCTTCGTGTTCTTGATGAGGTCGGTGACGGAGCCGGCACCGCAGAACTCCATCACCAGCTGAGTCAGACGCGGTGAGTCAGACGCGGTGAGTCAGACGCGGTGAGTCAGACGCGGTGAGTCAGACGCGGTGAGTCAGACGCGGTGAGTCAGACGCGGTGAGTCAGACGCGGTGAGTCAGACACGGTGAGTCAGACGCGGTGAGTCAGACACGGTGAGTCAGACACGGTGAGAGACATGGTGAGTGAGACACGGTGAGAGACGCGGTGAGAGACGCGGTGAGTCAGACACGGTGAGTCAGACACGGTGAGTCAGACGCGGTGAGTCAGACGCGGTGAGTCAGACACGGTCAGTCAGACACGGTGAGTCAGACACGGTGAGTCAGACACAGTGAGTCAGACACGATGAGTCAGACACGGTAAGAGACAAGGTGAGAGGCACACGGTGAGTCAGACACGGTGAGAGACACGGTGAGTCAGACACGGTGAGTCAGACACGGTGAGAGACATGGTGAGAGACACGGTGAGTCAGACACGGTGAGTCAGACACGGTGAGTCAGACACGGTGAGTCAGACACGGTGAGAGACACGGTGAGTCAGACGCGGTGAGTCAGACACGGTGAGAGGCACGGTGAGTCAGACACGGTGAGTCAGACATGGTGAGTCAGACACGGTGAGAGACACGGTGAGTCAGACACGGTGAGTCAGACATGGTGAGTCAGATGCGGTGAGTCAGACATGGTGAGTCAGACGCGGTGAGTCAGACACGGTGAGTCAGACGCGGTGAGTCAGACACGGTGAGTCAGACGCGGTGAGTCAGACGCGGTGAGTCAGACGCGGTGAGTCAGACACGGTCAGTCAGACACGGTGAGTCAGACACGGTGAGTCAGACACAGTGAGTCAGACACGATGAGTCAGACACGGTAAGAGACAAGGTGAGAGGCACACGGTGAGTCAGACACGGTGAGAGACACGGTGAGTCAGACACGGTGAGTCAGACACGGTGAGAGACATGGTGAGAGACACGGTGAGTCAGACACGGTGAGTCAGACACGGTGAGTCAGACACGGTGAGAGACACGGTGAGTCAGACGCGGTGAGTCAGACACGGTGAGTCAGACACGGTGAGTCAGACGCGGTGAGACAGACACGGTGAGTCAGACACGGTGAGTCAGACACGGTGAGTCAGACGCGGTGAGTCAGACGCGGTGAGTCAGACACGGTGAGTCAGACGCGGTGAGTCAGACATGGTGAGTCAGACGCGGTGAGTCAGACACGGTGAGTCAGACACGGTGAGAGACACGGTGAGTCAGACACGGTGAGTCAGACATGGTGAGTCAGACGCGGTAAGTCAGACATGGTGAGTCAGACGCGGTGAGTCAGACACGGTGAGTCAGACACGGTGAGAGACATGGTGAGTCAGACACGGTGAGTCAGACATGGTGAGTCAGACACGGTGAGTCAGACACGGTGAGTCAGACACGGTGAGTCAGACGCGGTGAGTCAGACACGGTGAGTCAGACACGGTGAGTCAGACACGGTGAGAGGCACGGTGAGTCAGACACGGTGAGTCAGACACGGTGATTCAGACGCGGTGAGAGACACGGTGAGTCAGACACGGTGAGTCAGACACGGTGAGTCAGACACGGTGAGGGACACGGTGAGAGACACGGTGAGTCAGACGCGGTGAGTCAGACACGGTGATTCAGACACGATGAGAGACACGGTGAGTGACACGGTGAGAGACACGGTGAGTCAGACACGGTGAGTCAGACATGGTGAGTCAGACACGGTGAGTGACACGGTGAGAGACACGGTGAGTCAGACATGGTGAGTGACACGGTGAGTCAGACACGGTGAGTCAGACACGGTGAGTCAGACACGGTGAGTCGGACACGGTGAGAGACACGGTGAGTCAGACACGGTAAGAGACACGGTGAGTCAGACACGGTGAGTCAGACACGGTGAGTCAGACACGGTGAGTCAGACACGGTGAGTCAGACGCGGTGAGTAAGACACGGTGAGTCAGACACGGTGAGTCAGACACGGTGAGTCAGACACGGTGAGTCAGACACGGTGAGTCAGACATGGTGAGTCAGACGTGGTGAGTCAGACACGGTGAGTCAGACACGGTGAGTCAGACACGGTGAGTCAGACACGGTGAGGGACACGGTGAGTCAGACACGGTGAGTCAGACACGGTAAGAGACAAGGTGAGTGGCACACGGTGAGTCAGACACGGTGAGAGACACGGTGAGTCAGACACGGTGAGTCAGACACGGTGAGTCAGACACGGTGAGAGACACGGTGAGTCAGACACGGTGAATCAGACACGATGAGAGACGCGGTGAGTCAGACACGGTGAGTCAGACACGGTGAGAGACACGGTGAGAGACACGGTGAGTCAGACACGGTGAGTCAGACACGATGAGAGACACGGTGAGAGACACGGTGAGTCAGACACGGTGAGTCAGACACGGTGAGAGACACGGTGAGAGACACGGTGAGAGACACGGTGAGAGACGCGGTGAGTCAGACACGGTGAGTCAGACACGGTGAGTCAGACACGGTGAGTCAGACACGGTGAGAGACACGGTGAGTCAGACGCGGTGAGTCAGACACGGTGAGTCAGACACGGTGAGTCAGACACGGTGAGAGACACGGTGAGGGACACGGTGAGTCAGACGCGGTGAGTCAGACATGGTGAGTCAGACACGGTGAGTCAGACACGGTGAGTCAGACACGGTGAGTCAGACACGGTGAGACAGACACGGTGAGTCAGACGCGGTGAGTCAGACACGGTGAGACAGACACGGTGAGTCAGACGCGGTGAGTCAGACACGGTGAGTCAGACACGGTGAGTCAGACACGGTGAGGGACACGGTGAGTCAGACACGGTGAGTCAGACACGGTGAGAGGCACGGTGAGAGAAACGGTGAGAGAAACGGTGAGTCAGACACGGTGAGAGGCACGGTGAGAGACACGGTGAGTCAGACACGGTGAGTCAGACACGGTGAGACAGACACGGTGAGTCAGACACGGTCAGTCAGACACGGTGAGTCAGACACGGTGAGTCAGACACGGTGAGTCAGACACGGTGAGTCAGACACGGTGAGAGACACGGTGAGTCAGACACGATGAGTCAGACACGGTAAGAGACAAGGTGAGAGGCACACGGTGAGTCAGACACGGTGAGAGACACGGTGAGTCAGACACGGTGAGAGACACGGTGAGTCAGACGCGGTGAGTCAGATGTGGTGAGAGACACGGTGAGTCAGACACGGTAAGAGACACGGTGAGTCAGACGCGGTGAGTCAGACACGGTGAGTCAGACATGGTGAGTCAGACACGGTGAGGGACACGGTGAGGGACACGGTGAGTCAGACGCGGTGAGTCAGACGTGGTGAGAGACACGGTGAGTCAGACACGGTGAGTCAGACGCGGTGAGTCAGACACGGTGAGTCAGACACGGTGAGAGACAAGGTGAGAGGCACACGGTGAGTCAGACACGGTGAGAGACACGGTGAGTCAGACACGGTGAGTCAGACACGGTGAGTCAGACACGGTGAGTCAGACACGGTGAGAGACACGGTGAGTCAGACGCGGTGAGTCAGACGCGGTGAGTCAGACACGGTGAGTCAGACGCGGTGAGTCAGACACGGTGAGTCAGACACGGTGAGTCAGACACGGTGAGTCAGACACGGTGAGTCAGACGTGGTGAGTCAGACACGGTGAGTCAGACGCAGTGAGTCAGACACGGTGAGTCAGACACGGTGAGTCAGACGCGGTGAGTCAGACACGGTGAGTCAGACACGGTGAGTAAGACACGGTGAGAGACACGGTGAGTCAGACACGGTGAGAGACACGGTGAGTCAGACACGGTGAGTCAGACACGGTGAGTCAGACGCAGTGAGTCAGACGCAGTGAGTCAGACGCGGTGAGTCAGACACGGTGAGTCAGACACGGTGAGTCAGACATGGTGAGTCAGACACGGTGAGTCAGACACGGAGAGAGACACGGTGAGTCAGACGCGGTGAGTCAGACACGGTGAGTCAGACACGGTGAGTCAGACACGGTGAGAGACACGGTGAGGGACACGGTGAGTCAGACGCGGTGAGTCAGACACGATGAGAGACACGGTGAGTCAGACACGGTGAGTCAGACATGGTGAGTCAGACACGGTGAGTCAGACACGGTGAGTCAGACACGGTGAGTCAGACACGGTGAGTCAGACACGGTGAGACAGACACGGTGAGTCAGACGCGGTGAGTCAGACACGGTGAGACAGACACGGTGAGTCAGACGCGGTGAGTCAGACACGGTGAGTCAGACACGGTGAGTCAGACACGGTGAGTCAGACACGGTGAGGGACACGGTGAGTCAGACACGGTGAGGGCCACGGTGAGTCAGACACGGTGAGAGGCACGGTGAGAGACACGGTGAGTCAGACACGGTGTGAGACACGGTGAGTCATACACGGTGAGTCAGACACGGTGAGTCAGACACGGTGAGACAGACACGGTGAGTCAGACACGGTCAGTCAGACACGGTGAGTCAGACACGGTGAGTCAGACACGGTGAGTCAGACACGGTGAGTCAGACACGGTGAGAGACACGGTGAGTCAGACACGATGAGTCAGACACGGTAAGAGACAAGGTGAGAGGCACACGGTGAGTCAGACACGGTGAGAGACACGGTGAGTCAGACACGGTGAGAGACACGGTGAGTCAGACGCGGTGAGTCAGATGTGGTGAGAGACACGGTGAGTCAGACACGGTAAGAGACACGGTGAGTCAGACGCGGTGAGTCAGACACGGTGAGTCAGACATGGTGAGTCAGACACTGTGAGGGACACGGTGAGGGACACGGTGAGTCAGACGCGGTGAGTCAGACCTGGTGAGAGACACGGTGAGTCAGACACGGTGAGTCAGACGCGGTGAGTCAGACACGGTGAGTCAGACACGGTGAGAGACAAGGTGAGAGGCACACGGTGAGTCAGACACGGTGAGAGACACGGTGAGTCAGACACGGTGAGTCAGACACGGTGAGTCAGACACGGTGAGTCAGACACGGTGAGAGACACGGTGAGTCAGACGCGGTGAGTCAGACGCGGTGAGTCAGACGGGGTGAGTCAGACACGGTGAGTCAGACGCGGTGAGTCAGACACGGTGAGTCAGACACGGTGAGTCAGACACGGTGAGTAAGACACGGTGAGTCAGACGTGGTGAGTCAGACACGGTGAGTCAGACGCGGTGAGTCAGACACGGTGAGTCAGACACGGTGAGTCAGACGCGGTGAGTCAGACACGGTGAGTCAGACACGGTGAGTAAGACACGGTGAGAGACACGGTGAGTCAGACACGGTGAGAGCCACGGTGAGTCAGACACGGTGAGTCAGACACGGTGAGTCAGACGCAGTGAGTCAGACGCAGTGAGTCAGACGCGGTGAGTCAGACACGGTGAGTCAGACACGGTGAGTCAGACACGGTGAGTCAGACACGGTGAGAGACACGGTGAGTCAGACACGGTGAGTCAGACGCGGTGAGTCAGACACGGTGAGAGACACGGTGAGTCAGACACGGTGAGTCAGAAGCGGTGAGAGACGCGGTGAGTCAGACACGGTGAGTCAGACGCGGTGAGTCAGACACGGTGAGAGAAACGGTGAGAAACACGGTGAGAGACACAGTGAGTCAGACACGGTGAGTCAGACGTGGTGAGTCAGACACGGTGAGAGACACGGTGAGTCAGACACGGTGAGTCAGACGCGGTGAGTCAGACACGGTGAGAGATACGGTGAGAGACACGGTGAGTCAGACATGGTGAGTCAGACGCAGTGAGTCAGACGCGGTGAGTCAGACACGGTGAGTCAGACGCGGTGAGTCAGACACGGTGAGTCAGACACGGTGAGTCACACGGTGAGTCAGACACGGTGAGGTGAGTGAGTAGGTGAGTGAGTAGGTGAGTGAGTGAGTAGGTGAGTGAGTGGGTAAGTAGGTGAGTAGGTGAGTGAGTAGGTGAGTGAGTAGGTGAGTGAGTGAGTGAGTAGGTGAATGAGTGAGTAGGTGAGTGAGTGAGTAGGTGAATGAGTGAGTAGGTGAGTGAGTGAGTAGGTGAGTGAGTAGGTGAGTGAGTGAGTAGGTGAGTGAGTAGGTGAGTGAGTGAGTAGGTGAGTGAGTGAGTAGGTGAGTGAGTAGGTGAGTGAGTGAGTAGGTGAGTGAGTATGTGAGGGAGTGAGTATGTGAGGGAGTGAGTAGGTGAGTAAGTGAGTGAGTAGGTGAGTGAGTAGGTGAGTGAGTGAGTAGGTGAGTGAGTGGGTGAGTGAGTGAGTAGGTGAGTGAGTGAGTGAGTAGGTGAGTGAGTAGGTGAGTGAGTAGGTGAGTGAGTGAGTAGGTGAGTGAGTGAGTAGGTGAGTGAGTGGGTGAGTGAGTAAGTGAGTGAGTAGGTGAGTGAGTGAGTAGGTGAGTGAGTGAGTAGGTGAGTGAGTGGGTGAGTAGGTGAGTGAGTAGGTGAGTGAGTAGGTGAGTGAGTGAGTAGGTGAGTGAGTGGGTGAGTAGGTGAGTGAGTAGGTGAGTGAGTAGGTGAGTGAGTAGGTGAGTGAGTAGGTGAGTGAGTAGGTGAGTGAGTAGGTGAGTGAGTAGGTGGGTGAGTAGGTGAGTGAGTAGGTGAGTGAGTAGGTGAGTGAGTGAGTAGGTGAGTGAATGGGTGAGTAGGTGAGTGAGTAGGTGAGTGAGTAGGTGAGTGAGTGGGTGAGTGAGTAGGTGATTGAGTAGGTGAGTGAGTGAGTAGGTGAGTGAGTGAGTGAGTAGGTGAGTGAGTGGGTGAGTAGGTGAGTGAGTAGGTGAGTGAGTGAGTGAGTAGGTGAGTGAGTGGGTGAGTGAGTGAGTGAGTAGGTGAGTGAGTGAGTGAGTAGGTGAGTGAGTGAGTAGGTGAGTGAGTGGGTGAGTGGGTGAGTAGGTGAGTGAGTAGGTGAGTGAGTGAGTAGGTGAGTGAGTGAGTAGGTGAGTGAGTAGGTGAGTGAGTGAGTAGGTGAGTGAGTGAGTAGGTGAGTGAGTAGGTGAGTGAGTGAGTAGGTGAGTGAGTGAGTAGGTGAGTGAGTGAGTAGGTGAGTGAGTGAGTAGGTGAGTGAGTAGGTGAGTGAGTAGGTGAGTGAGTGAGTAGGTGAGTGAGTGAGTAGGTGAGTGAGTGGGTGAGTGGGTGAGTAGGTGAGTGAGTAGGTGAGTGAGTGAGTAGGTGAGTGGGTGAGTAGGTGAGTGAGTAGGTGAGTGAGTGAGTAGGTGAGTGAGTGAGTAGGTGAGTGAGTAGGTGAGTGAGTGAGTAGGTGAGTGAGTGAGTAGGTGAGTGAGTAGGTGAGTGAGTAGGTGAGTGAGTAGGTGAGTGAGTGAGTAGGTGAGTGAGTGAGTAGGTGAGTGAGTAGGTGAGTGAGTGAGTAGGTGAGTGAGTGGGTGAGTAGGTGAGTGAGTAGGTGAGTGAGTAGGTGAGTGAGTGAGTAGGTGAGTGAGTAGGTGAGTGAGTGAGTAGGTGAGTGAGTGAGTAGGTGAGTGAGTGAGTAGGTGAGTGAGTAGGTGAGTGAGTAGGTGAGTGAGTAGGTGAGTGAGTGAGTAGGTGAGTGAGTGAGTAGGTGAGTGAGTGAGTAGGTGAGTGAGTGAGTAGGTGAGTGAGTGAGTAGGTGAGTGAGTAGGTGAGTAGGTGAGTGAGTAGGTGAGTAGGTGAGTGAGTAGGTGAGTAGGTGAGTGAGTAGGTGAGTGAGTAGGTGAGTGAGTAGGTGAGTGAGTAGGTGAGTGAGTAGGTGAGTGAGTAGGTGAGTGAGTAGGTGAGTGAGTAGGTGAGTGAGTAGGTGAGTGAGTAGGTGAATGAGTAGGTGAGTGAGTAGGTGAGTGAGTAGGTGAGTGAGTAGGTGAGTGAGTAGGTGAGTGAGTAGGTGAGTAGGTGAGTGAGTAGGTGAGTGAGTAGGTGAGTGAGTAGGTGAGTGAGTGGGTGAGTAGGTGAGTGAGTAGGTGAGTGAGTGGGTGAGTAGGTGAGTGAGTAGGTGAGTGAGTAGGTGAGTGAGTAGGTGAGTGAGTAGGTGAGTGAGTGAGTAGGTGAGTGAGTGGGTGAGTAGGTGAGTGAGTAGGTGAGTAGGTGAGTGAGTAGGTGAGTGAGTAGGTGAGTAGGTGAGTGAGTAGGTGAGTGGCTCACCCAGAGCTGATCGTCGTGTCCTGGCGGGCTCTTCTTGACGAAGGCGCCGTAGTAGGTGGCGATGTTGCGGTGGTGCGAGTATTTCTTCAGCATGTTGATCTCCAGCTTGATCTCCTCCTCCTCGTCCTGGTGAGACACGGGGAGACACGCGGGGAGACACACGGTGAGACACACGGTGAGACACACGGGGAGACACACGGTGAGAGACACGGTGAGAGACACGGTGAGACACGTGGTGAGACACACGGTGAGACACGCGGTGAGACACACGGTGAGACACACGGTGAGACACGCGGTGAGATAGGCAGGGAGACACGGGGAGAGACACACGGAGACACGCGGTGAGACACGCGGTGAGACACACGGTGAGACACACGGTGAGACACACGGTGAGACACGTGGAGACACACGGTGAGACACACGGTGAGAAACGTGGAGACACACAGTGAGACACGGTGAGACACATGGTGAGACACACGGTGAGACACACAGTGAGACACACAGTGAGACACACGGTGAGACACACGGTGAGACACAGTGAGACACACGGTGAGACACACGGTGAGACACACGGTGACACACAGTGAGACACACGGTGAGACACACGGTGAGACACGGTGACACACGGTGAGACACACGGTGAGACACACAGTGAGACACACAGTGAGACACACAGTGAGACACACAGTGAGACACACGGTGAGACACACGGTGAGACACGGTGACACACGGTGAGACACACGGTGAGACACACAGTGAGACACACGGTGAGACACACGGTGAGACACACGGTGAGACACGGTGAGACACACGGTGAGACACACGGTGACACACAGTGAGACACACGGTGAGACACACGGTGAGACACACGGTGAGACACACGGTGAGACACACGGTGAGACACACGGTGAGACACACAGTGACACACGGTGAGACACACGGTGAGACACGGTGACACACGGTGAGACACACGGTGAGACACACAGTGAGACACACAGTGAGACACACGGTGAGACACGGTGAGACACACGGTGAGACACACACAGTGAGACACACGGTGAGACACACGGTGAGACACACGGTGAGACACACGGTGACACACAGTGAGACACACGGTGAGACACACAGTGAGACACACAGGGAGACACACAGTGAGACACACGGTGAGACACACAGTGAGACACACAGTGACACACACGGTGAGACACACGGTGACACACACGGTGAGACACACGGTGAGACACACGGTGACACACGGTGAGACACACAGTGAGACACACAGTGACACACACAGTGAGACACACAGTGAGACACACGGTGAGACACGGTGAGACACACGGTGACACACGGTGAGACACACGGTGAGACACAGGGTGAGACACACGGTGAGACACGCGGGGAGACACACAGTGAGACACACGGTGAGACACACAGTGAGACACACAGGGAGACACACAGTGAGACACACGGTGAGACACACGGTGAGACACAGGGTGAGACACACGGTGAGACACACGGTGAGACACACGGTGAGACACGGTGACACACGGTGAGACACACGGTGAGACACACGGTGAGACACAGTGAGACACACGGTGAGACACACGGTGAGACACGGTGAGACACGGTGAGACACACGGTGAGACACACAGTGAGACACGGTGAGACACACGGTGAGACACACGGTGAGACACACGGTGAGACACACAGTGAGACACACAGTGAGACACACGGTGAGACACACGGTGAGACACGGTGAGACACACGGTGAGACACACGGTGAGACACAGTGAGACACAGTGAGACACACGGTGAGACACACAGTGACACACGGTGAGACACACAGTGAGACACACAGTGAGACACACGGTGAGACACACGGTGAGACACACAGTGAGACACGGTGAGACACACGGTGAGACACACGGTGAGACACACGGTGAGACACACAGTGAGACACACAGTGAGACACAGTGAGACACACGGTGAGACACGGTGAGACACACGGTGAGACACACACAGTGAGACACACGGTGAGACACGCGGTGAGACACACGGTGAGACACAGTGAGACACACGGTGAGACACGCGGTGAGACACACGGTGAGACACAGTGAGACACACGGTGAGACACACAGTGAGACACGGTGAGACACACGGTGAGACACGGTGACACACACGGTGAGACACACGGTGAGACACACGGTGAGACACACGGTGAGACACACAGTGAGACACACAGTGAGACACACGGTGAGACACACAGTGAGACACACAGTGAGACACACGGTGAGACACACAGTGAGACACACGGTGAGACACACGGTGAGACACAGTGAGACACACGGTGAGACACACGGTGACACACGGTGAGACACACACAGTGAGACACGCGGTGAGACACACGGTGAGACACACGGTGAGACACACGGTGAGACACACGGTGACACACACGGTGACACACAGTGAGACACACAGTGAGACACACGGTGAGACACACAGTGAGACACACGGTGAGACACACAGTGAGACACGCGGTGAGACACACGGGGAGACACACGGTGAGACACACAGTGAGACACACGGTGAGACACACGGTGAGACACACGGTGAGACACACGGTGAGACACACAGTGAGACACACGGTGAGACACACTGAGAGACACACGGTGAGACACACGGTGAGACACACAGTGAGACACACGGTGAGACACACGGTGAGACACACGGTGAGACACACGGTGAGACACACAGTGAGACACACGGTGAGACACACGGTGAGACACAGGGTGAGACACAGGGTGAGACACAGGGTGAGACACACGGTGAGACACACAGTGAGACACACGGAGAGACACACAGTGAGACACACAGTGAGACACACGGTGAGACACACAGTGAGACACACGGTGAGACACACGGTGAGACACACGGTGAGACACACGGTGAGACACACGGTGAGACACACGGTGAGACACACGGTGAGACACACGGTGAGACACACAGTGAGACACACAGTGAGACACACGGTGACACACGGTGAGACACACGGTGAGACACACGGTGAGACACACGGTGAGACACAGGGTGAGACACAGGGTGAGACACAGGGTGAGACACACGGTGAGACACACAGTGAGACACACGGTGAGACACACAGTGAGACACACGGTGAGACACACGGTGAGACACACGGTGAGACACACGGTGAGACACACAGTGAGACACACGGTGAGACACACGGTGAGACACACGGTGAGACACACGGTGAGACACACGGTGAGACACACGGTGAGACACACAGTGAGACACACGGTGAGACACACGGTGACACACGGTGAGACACACGGTGACACACAGTGAGACACACAGTGAGACACACGGTGAGACACACGGTGAGACACACGGTGAGACACACAGGGAGACACACGGTGAGACACACGGTGAGACACACGGTGAGACACACGGTGAGACACACAGTGACACACAGTGAGACACACGGTGAGACACGGGGACAGGCGGAGGCACGTGGTGAGAATGAGGCGCGTGGTGAGGGTGAGGCGCGTGGTGAGGGTGAGGCACGTGGTGAGGGTGAGGCACGTGGTGAGGGTGAGGCACGTGGTGAGGGTGAGGCGCGTGGTGAGGGTGAGGCACGTGGTGAGGGTGAGGCACGTGGTGAGGGTGAGGCACGTGGTGAGGCTTGCGAGGACACGCAGGGAGACTTGCAGTGGGTGGCTGTGATGTTGTTGGTGATGTTGGTGGGGATGATGATGATGATGATGGCGATAATGATGATGGCGGCGATGATGATGATGGCGGCGATGATGATGATGGCGATAATGATGATGGCGGCGATGATAATGATGGCGGCGATGATGATGGCGATAATTATGATGATGGCGATAATGATGATGGCGGCGATGATGATGATGGCGATAATGATGATGGCGGCGATGATAATTATGATGATGGCGGCGATGATAATGATGATGATGGCGGCGATGATGATGATGATGATGGCGATAATGATGATGGTGATGATGATGGCAATGGTGATGATGGCGATGATGACGATGTTGTTGTTGTTGTTGTTAGACAGCCGAGTGGCACTGCGGCATGCGCCACCCTGATGTGCCGTAACGATGACGACGACGATCGTGACGATGATGATCATGACGACGACGATCAAGATCGTGACGACGATGATTGTGATGACGACGATCGTGATTGTGATGATGACGATCGTGACGACGACGATCGTGATCGTGACGACGATGATCGTGACGACGATGATCGTGATCGTGACGACGATCGTGACGACGACGATCGTGACGACGATGATCGTGACGACGATGATCGTGACGACGATGATCGTGACGACGGGTGAGCGACTGCGACCCTCTCACCTCCGTGACGTCCATGACTTTGATCGCTGCCAGCTGACCGGTCCGCACGTGACGACCCTGCAAAGACAAAGATCCCCCGTGTAGACTTAACAGACTGCTGGGGCAAGTGCTGCTAGTAGCGAGTAGTAGCAGCTATGAAGGTAGACACAGACAAAGGTCCCCCGTGTAGCCTCTACAGACTGCTGGGGCAAGTGCTGTTGGTAGCGAGCAGCTATGAAGGTAGACACAGACAAAGGTCCCCCGTGTAGCCTCTACAGACTGCTGGGGCAAGTGCTGTTGGTAGCGAGCAGCTATGAAGGTAGACACAGACAAAGGTCCCCCGTGTAGCCTCTACAGACTGCTGGGGCAAGTGCTGTTAGTAGCGAGTAGCAGCAGCTATGAAGGTAGACACAGACAAAGGTCCCCCGTGTAGCCTCTACAGACTGCTGGGGCAAGTGCTGTTAGTAGCGAGTAGCAGCACCTATGAAGGTTACCGGCACTGTGGCACACGAGGGGGTGGGTGGCCAGCAGCACCACGCCCGGCCGCCTTTGTCTCCCCCAGTGGCGATGTTTACTACACCACCACCGCTACACCAGGTAACTCATTTGTGGATGAGTCGACCTAGGGGAGGCCCAGGGACCGGTTCAAATAATCGTCACCGCCGGTGTTGGCCGTGAGCGGGAATCGAACTCGGGTCGCCGGGTTCGTAGTGCAGCGTAGCGCTAACCGCTGCACCACCGCTCCCCACATACAGACACACAGCTACACACACGTAACACACAGCACGCACGTACACAGGTTTACACAGCTACATACACAGGTATAGGTACACACAGCTACACGCACAAACAGCTACACACAGCACACACGCTCGTTGCAAGTGTGTGTGTTGAAGCGTGTGTGTGTGTCTGAGAGGGCCCGGGTAAAACTACGTGGCCGGGAGTCAGAGCCATTCCCTGTACACCTTGGGGTGCGACAGGGATGTCCTTTGGCTCCCCACATTATTTAACATCTATTTTGACCACGTAGTTCGTGAAGCCTTCAATAGCTGTACCGGGGGAATCTCCCATCTGGTACGGATATAATGGGAGGCTGATCGATGCCCGGGTGCGGTCAAGGGATGGCTCCCTATTGCTCAACCACGTTATGTATGCTGATGATTTGGTAATAGCTGCTCATTCAGAGGAGGAGTTGGAGACGCTGCTGCTGAGACTGGAGCGTGCCACTAAGAGGTGGGGCCTTACCATCAGCCCCACCAAAACTAAGCACCTGCCTGGGTATTTTGTACCATCGGACACTCCACCCCCACAACTCCCAATCGGTGATGGGGCAGTTGTGGAGAGAGTGGAGAGTTTCCCATACCTGGGCAGTGTGCTCATGACCGGCTCCGGTCTGACAGCGGAGGTCTCACTCCAAATCAGTCGAGTGGCAATATATTTCCATCGGTAGCGTAACGCTGTGTGGAAGCTACCTGGTCTGTCGCTCCGCACGAAGCTTCAGGTCTTCTTGGCCACGGTCATTCCCTCCCTTCTCTACGCTTGCGAAACGTGGACCCCCCTAATGGAACATCTTCGCTGGTTAGAAACATTCAGGTTGGCCTGCCTACGATCAATCCTAGGTTTAACCAGGCTGGATTGTGTGAGGGGCTCACAAATCCTTGAAAGATCTGGGCAAGGTCCCATCAGTGAGCTCCTCCGACAGGCAAGGCTGCGTTGGCTGGGTCATGTAGCCCGCATGCCCAGCCACCGCATGACTAAACAGCTTTTGTTCGGCCGGATCGAGGGGGCAAAACGGGCGCGGCACGGGCTAGAGAAGAGATGGAGTGACGTGGTACAGGAGGACGTGGAGCTGAGTGGACTTGCCGATGACTGGTACCAGCGGTGTCAAGATCGGCCTCTGTGGAGGAGGCTCGTGAAGGACGCTACTGGGCAGTTGGAGGCAGTCGCCCTCCAACAACAACGGAGGGCAGAGGAGCGACGTTCACAACAACGAGCGGAGCGCCGGGTGGCTAAAGCACAGCAGGTTGGCACAGTAGGGGGTACAGGTGGTGCATCAGCCAGTCATCTCAGTCAGTCGACCCGTGGCACCTGGGTCTGCCCCGTGACCTCCTGCCAGCGGGCGTTCGACACTTCACGTGGTAGCCTCAAGGTGCACATGGCCTGGCACAAGCGTCGTGGTGACGTCACCGCCACTTAGTGGCGAATGGCGGTTGTTGTTGTTGTTTAAGCGTGTGTGTGTGCGTGTGACTGTGTGTGTGTGACTGTGTGTGTGTGTGTGTGACTGTGTGTGTGTGACTGTGTGTGTGTGTGTGACTGTGTGTGTGTGTGTGTACGAGCGCGTGTGCACGTGTGATTGTGGCCGACACGGAGGGCAGGAAGTGCGTGAGTGTGTGTGTGTGAGAGCGTGTGCGAGCGCCTGTGTGTGTGTGTGAGTGTGTGTGCGAGTGTGAGAGCGTGTGCGAGCGCCTGTGTGTGTGTGTGCGCGTGTGTGCGTGTGTGTGAGCGTGTGTTCGTGAGCATGAGCGTGAGTGTGCGAGCGTGTGTGTGCGTGTGTGCGCGTATGAGTGAGCGTGTGCGT